AAGCATTGCCTTGAAAAGAAAATCCAGGCTTTAAAAGGTTACAATTTTACTCTAATTGCCGACTTCCAAATCTATTTTCATTCCAAAGAGCCATCTGTAGCTTAGACAAGAAACCAACACATTACTCATGGACATGCTAACTAAACAGCTACCAGTGGTATTTACTCAAGGACAATGTTGAAGTACTTGTTCTTTACTTGAGTATTACCATTCAATTCTACTTAATACTTTTAGTTCACAAAATGTAAAAGGGATATAATGTCATTTTACTGCATTGAAAATAAATTGATAAACTTTTAACATAATTGCATCTCAAAATTAAACTAGTGGACTAACTGTCTGAGGTACAAAAAGTTAAATGATACCATATATTGCAAAATGTTCTTTTGTCTACATCAGTAAAATGCAGTTTGATGCAACAATCTTAACAATCTAATAATGTTTTACATACATAATAATATATCACATGGAGGACATTTTCTGCAGAATTAGTACTTTTGCTTTTTAAATGTAAGTATATTTTCTCTTGCTAATACCTATACCTTTACTTACGAATGTAGAACTTTTACTTGTAAAGAAGTATTTTGACATGAATGTATAATTTTTATTTAAGTAAACAATCCGATTACTTCTTTCACATCTGATCATAATCCAGTAATTTCCTATGATTCTGAAAGAGAGACCAGGAGGAAAAATTGTTATAAAAAAAAAAATCATCATTTGAAAAATTATTGATTCGAAAATAATTAGTGCTGTCAAAATTATCGCGTTAACGGCGGTAATTAATTTTTTGAATTAATTGCGTTAAAATATTTAACGCATTTAACGCATGTGCAGAATGGCCCGGCCCATACGTGCCACCAGTGGCAGCGCCAGGGTATGGCTGGGGTAGGCTACACCCATACCAAGAAATGGCTTAGCCCCACCATGAAAAATGATGTTAAAGTAAGCAAAATAAAGTCTGCCAACTCGCGCGTAGTAAATTGCACAGACAGCAGTTAGTAAGATTGATTTCAGTAGCCACGGTTTTGAAAACTTTTGTCACGTAGTGATCGTCTTCTCAATAGAACATCTTTGATAACGGCGTGGTGTTGTTGCAGGAAGTCCCGACGGAGAATACTTTTGCTGTAGTACAGGGGTGATTGATTGATTGATTGATTGAAAAGTTTATTAACAGCTTGTATATTGGGTACAGTACAGTACAGCTCAAAACATACAATTGTTAATTCATAGATTAGTTTCTTTTCCGCGAGGTACTTTTCGACCTGTTCATATACTATTTTTTCCATGACTTTCGAGATGGAGGTAAGTATAGAAACAGGGCGGTAGTTGCCTGGGTCCAATTTGCTGCCCTTTTTGTGCAGGGGGGTTACTCTTGCAATTTTGAAGTCTTTGGGTACTTTCCCCTGTTTTATGGAGAGGTTAATTATGTGAGCTATGACTGGTGAGATGGCGGTTGCTGTGTCTCTGAGGAATTTGGAGGGGATATTGTCGTGGCCAGTGGCCTTGTTAGGTTGGAGGGCGCTCAGTTTAATGAGTATCTCTGCTGTTGTTACCCTTGCTAGACTGAAATCATCTTTGCGTACCCCTAGGTTTTTGTAGTAGGTCATGATGTGATCTACTCCAAAAAACCCTGAGTGGGAGGGTAATTTATTTACAAGAGTTGTGGCTATGTTTGTGAAAAAAATGTTCAAGTACTTGGCCACATCCAGTTTGTCTGTGATGAGCCTGTTATCTGTCTTTATGTTTAAATTAGAAAATCTCGTTTTGAGTTTTTTACTGCAGCCAAGCTGGTTATTGAGTAATTTCAGTTTTGACATTGATGAAATTCTTTTTGGCAGTTTTGATCATGGAGCTTACGTCATTTCTTAGTGGGGTGCACATAACTGGTACGCAGGTTATGTGCGTACCGACGTACTTGTGAAGCTTTTCACCGGACGACAGAGTCGGTCTCCGTGTGCACAGACAGGGCTGCTGTTAACGTCGGTCTGTAGCCTACAACGGAATTGTGCCAAAACTACGCCAACCGGCTGCGGAGGGAGACTCCCCACCCCCCTTCACTGGAGAACTGCGCTAAAACAGCTGATCACAACGTTCACACTCCCCCCCCCCCCCCCTCTGTCGACTTTCCTGAAGTAGCCTACTCCCCCGTTGATAGAAATCAACACGTAATGAATTAAGACCCCACGGTTTGATGATTGATAGGTGCAGGGCCGCCCCTGGCCAACTTGGGGCCCCAAGCGACATTGTGAGATGAGCCCCCCCCCTCCCCCTCCCCCCCAACCGACAGGAGTGAAACACATTTTTTTTGGAAACAAAGTAGGCTACTTTGCAAATATAATTCCTGTTTATTACACTGTAAAACCTAACATCGTGTTAAATAAGAATGAATAAGTAGGCCATACTTACAGGGTCGGCTCTAGAACAAATCGAATGGGGGGGGGCAATCATTTACCAATGCAACTTCAATAAAAAAAAAAATGCTGTAAAGTCTATTGTCTTTCACACACATTGCAGGGTGTAGTACTATTGTATAGCGCACCTATGACTTGTGCATACATGCACAAACCAAAACAGAAACATATGGACATAGGCCACCATATAAAAAGTGTGCAAATGTATTTAGTATCCTGAACATGTTTTAGGTGGGGGTGGACCTACATCTCTCAACACCCATATGAAACAGAACTGTAAACAGATTTACTTTTTCTTTATGGATATTGTACTAATCACTCCCCTTTTAAACTGTATTCTTGTGTTACTGTCCTATATTATTTCATACCTGTTTTTCATTTATTCTCTTATTTTTTAATAACTATAATGATCATATTTAGGTGTGTTCCTCGCAAATACTTGTTTACATGGTGACCAAACCGTTTGACACTGAGATAACCTACAATAAAGTGAACTATCTAAACAGTGAGAGAGTCCTTTACCTCACTGAGCTGACGTTATAAGATCCTCTCAGTCTGACAGGAGAGGACTCTCCTCCACCTTGGTGTAGAAACAGCTCTTTATATCAGTTAGCATAGCGAGCTAACCAGATGCTAACAACAACATTCCACGTTACCGCTCGAGCACTCACAAAATGCGCTCGTGCAACACACACAGAGCCGAGCTTGAATGAAACACAGAGACCCAGAAGTACTTGTACTGTATATCATATTATTTTCGATGGCTTTACTGTATAATCAGTGTAACAGATGAACAGATCGCCACTGGGCTTTCATCTAAACACACAGCCACGTAATGATAACACAACAAAGGTCGGGGACAAAGGTCGGGGGCATAGGTCGGGGGTCATTGGTCAAGCAACACACCAATCAGAGAGCAGCAGTGAGCACACCTCAGGCTGTGTTTTCTATTTGTATTATTTATTTCTGATTTATTTCACACAAAAAACTTTTAGTGGAAACGTTTTCACCTAGCCTATATGATTAAAAAAAAAACGGCAAAGTGGCAAGGCTTGCCCGCCCTTCGTTGGGGGGGCACAGTCACTCATTTGGGGGGGCATGGCCCGCGAATGACCCCCCATGACGCCGACCCTGCTTACTTATGTTTTGTTAACTTGTTAATAACACTCAGTTTAAATAATTAAGCTGTAGTGCGGGGTCGAAAAACCTAACTAACTCAATGTAATTGATGTGAGCTAATTTAGAAAAACTAAGTTAGTGGAAATGGGGAACATTATGACATGCGCAGATCACTCCTTGACCACATGGCGCTCAAAGTTACATTCTGGAACTTTCTGGAACATTTACGAACATGCCCTGCAGCAGATGGACGTTTCCTCAATGGCTAGCCGCTAGGCTATGGTCATTGTCATTGTCGCATTACAGTGAATCTTGTGCTTTGTACACTGCTTTGGTGAGTACATATTAACATCCCAACCGTTTTGCTGTCTTGTTGTATTTAATCTCAAGGTTTATATGCTTGCTAGTTAAGATAACATTAGCTAACTTGTGGCTGTGTTCAGTTTTATATATTAGCCTACAACAAAGTATAAAGTTACACTTCACAACGTATGAGCGCCAATCAGTATATACTCCAAGTGGGTTGCGGTGCGGGATCGGGAGCTTGAGGAGGGACTCTCCCGCTAGGGGCGGCCGTTCCTGGGTGCAGACTGCGGGTCCCTCCGCCAGCTCCGCGGTGCTGCAAGCCGTCACTGCGGCGCTGGCGGAGAGACCCTCCCGCTACGGGCGGCCGTGCCTGGGTGGAGACTGCGGGTACAACCTCAAGCTCCGCGGAGCTGGCTTGGCCATGTACCGGGCATTACTTCACCGCGACTCGCTCTTTTGGCGGGGAAACAGCTGGAGTCTAAATGTGTCTGGCGGCTATGTCTGTGGGCGTTACAATTCGCCGCAACGGCGAGTGGCGGGGGTCGTCAGGTTCCAACGTGAGGTGTAGATGTAACGTTCTTGCCGTCTGAAGTCACTGTTGAAAATTATACAATCAGTTTCTTTCTATTTTAATTGTTTACAAATGCACACAATTGTTACATGAGCACACACTATTTATATCCTATTTATGTTGCTCTCAAAGTGCATCAGATTAATGGATTTCAATTTTCAAATATATCAACTGAAATTGTCAACAAAAACAAAAAATCCCAAACAATGTGTGACAGTTGAATCATGTATTACACAGTAATAGTAGTCTATTACCTTTTAATAGTTTATTTTACAATAATCATATGGAGATACCAACTGAAATGTTTGTTTCACTCCTGCATATGTTTAAAGTGCATTTGGTGAAACTTGATTTAAATTAGCATAGTTTAAAAGCTAACTGATATTAGTCTACATTTAAAAAGAGTATAGTGTTTACATTCAATGTAACCATAATCTGTTATAATAGTGAAGATGTTGGCTGGCATACTCAGTTGAATAATATGTATTTGATGGTTGTAATATCCAGGTTTTGTGATTTAAAGGCTAAGCCATATTACAAAAATGTGGTGATGATTTGTCATGTTTGCAATCTTTGCTATAATCGATTAAATGTCTATGTTTTTGTTAGAAATATCTGCTTTCAAATGTTTTATTCTTCCCCATTCAGGCTTTAACAGATGGTGGCAACTCCACACATTCCATGATCACAGCAGTAAAAGGTATTTTTACACACTACACAATTCCTCTGATCGTTTGTATTTTTTCTATGAGCAGCGGCGTAAGAGCTTTATGTTAAAGGGCCCATGTCATGCTTTTCCGGTTCTTACCCGTCCCCTTGTGTGTTATGAAGATTTTTCTGCATGTAAACGGTCTGCAGAGTCACAAACCCTTAAAGTACACCCTGTAGCGAGTAAAACTCTAACACAGAAAATACCTCCCCAAAACGCCTCGTTGGAGATTTCTAATTTTCCAATTTTTTCTTCCTGGCCGTTATGACGTGTGAACACCCAGTTGCCCCACCCAGAGCCTTGACGTGCATAGAGCTCCGTGAGCGCTGACAGACGAGTTGGAATCTCACAGCGTTTATCAACCTTTTTCTTACTCAATATCAAGCCACACTTATTGTTTTTACTTCGGCTGTGAGTGTTTGTGTGTGCTCAGGATGAGTTTGGCTGTGTTTAGGTGTGTATCGCCAATCAGAAAACCACACCGCCACGGAGCGCACACTGCAGCTCAGACTGCAGCTCAGACTGCAGCTGGGAGCTTCTCAACGTCCCGACCAATCAGAGCACACTGGGCTCACAGGGAGGGGGGGGAGCTCCAACAAGGCGTTTAGGACAGAGTGAAATTCAATATACAATATAAATCTATTCTAGTAGACCTCAACAATGGAATTATGATCTGTGGAAATGGCCATGACATAGGCCCTTTAACATCACTAGAATTTGATCACAACAATAGCATGGATGCAATTTAGTCCTCTTCTCACTTTCACTTATTTCATAATACACGTTTTGCATTTTAAATCAGGTAAATACAACACTGTCGTTTCTAAATTGCTGTATATGTGATGTTTGATTATTTTTATTGGTTTGTCGTTCTTGATTTTCAGATTTGCCAAGCAGATCGAAAACCTTCGATGCAGTGGACCTGTAAGTTCTGCTCATTTTTCATTATCATAACATTTGGCAAATATTATTATTCTAAATTTTTGATCGACTAATCAATTAGTAAACAAAACGTTGCAGCAATAAATCAAAACAATATTATATTAATTATAGCGGCCTGAAATCTCAGCATACAATATTATATTGTTGTGGGCTAGACGTGTACCCTGCCTTTCTATCTAAGCCATAGTGGTTGCCTGCTTGCACAATTGTTATGATTTAAACTAATGTCTTCCTAATGTGCTGGCTTTCCATCTCCTACCCCACCCCCTTCTCTACTTTTTCAGGTATTTGCCAAATTTAATCGGATTACCAGTCGGAACCTCGAGGTAGACTTCTTTGAGGCTCTGGGCCAGCACACCCCACGTTTCATCCAACTGTTCAAGTCAAAAAAAGGATCGGTGGGACAGAAACTGCAGAGCATCAACTGGCCGGTAAGTAATATAACTTAGCAACTTTTTGTCACATACATTGATGACGATATGGTACTACTTCAAAAGACTTCTAAAATAATTAAAACAACCCCTCCAAAAGATGGAAAAGGCCAAAATGTTTCATCTTGTGAGTTTATCATTTAACCTTTATCTTCTTTATCTCTATCATTAGACACCGGACGTGACTGAACAGCGCTCTGTTGTCCTCAAAGGCATTCCGATTGTTCTTGGCGACGACTCCAAGGATTTCTTCAAGACATGCTTTGTAAGTACTTGAACACAAAAAAACTGTTTGGTTTGCATTTATTGAAAAGTCATATCCCCTATTTACACAAACTTGCAACCAAAAGATTTAATTTGGTGTGTTCAAAATACTGTACACTAAATTCCATGACCAGGAGTCTAGATTAGAAATGAGGTGTAAAATAAATGTATGTTCCTAGCTGTATTTGCATCCATAGCATTAGTTTCCTCACACCACATTTACAGAACCTTTTTGGATATAATGTTACAACGCAGTTTGAGTGTGTACTTCAGCTACATTTTTTAGCAAAGACTTTAATGCAAATGCAACATGAATGTTTTCATAGGAAGACCTACTCTAATAGGTAGCGATGATAGTCTAAATAACGTGTTTTTCTTTGCAGGATACAACGAGAGATGAGGCCCCATCATCCGTCACTGTTGGTGTGCTGACTGTTCTTAGCGAAGACAGTCCTCAGGAGGGTCCAAGCTCAATCCACCTCGAACCCATCTCCACTGACATTGTGCTTGAGGGAGGTATTGTCATGGAAAAGACAAAAACTTTCCACAGGCCTGTTATTTGGCCTGATATATGCTTTGCATTTAGATCACCCAAAATGCATGGCAAATACTCTGAGGTTCGTTCAAACAGTGATGCTTGGACTAGGAACCAAAGCTCTCTCACCTAAACTATTAACTTTGAGAAACGCTCTACTCGATTAGACCTTAGTCAAGATAGTCATCAACTATCAGATAGAACTTGGCACTTGAAAAAGTTGCACCGTTAAATGTTATGACAAAAGTTTGTTACTCTGGGGAAACTGTTATAACTCTGTCAATTGTTGAGAGCAAAGTACAATGTACTCTTCTTCATAGTGGTCATTATATATTTTTTATTTTTACAATTGGTGTGTTGTGCACTGCTGTTTTTATTAAGATAAGGGTTTTGAGTACTTAAAAAGCACTGTTTGTTGGCACTTGAAAATAAATGTTATATTGCAATTGAATCAATTTGTGTTTTTAATGCATTATTTTTGGAGATTGTTGGAGTTTACACAACGTGTTTAGAGATTTGTTGTAGTACAATTATCTTAGTTAGCAGGAATTAGTTTGTTTAATTTAATAGTAAACCTTAGAAATTACGAGTTAGTAGAATTTAAAAGGGTTAAGTTCTGGTGATTTGTATATTTAAGTAGCGTTTAATTTATTCATTGAGTTCACACAAATAAAAAAAAATAGGTTAATGCCTTTTAAGTTTACATAACTTAGTTTACATAAGTTGGCCTAACTTAGTTTACATAAGTTTACATAACTTAGTTTACATAAGTTTACATAACTTAAAAGGTTTGTGTCAGCTGTACTTCTCAAAATTAATTGAAGCACACTTAGAATACACAAGTTGTTCATACTCACCATTCTAAGTTAAGTTAAGTTACTTATTGTGAGGCAACGAGTTTGCATACTTTTTCTAAGTTACCACAACTTATTAAGTTTTACAGTGTATTATTATCAACACTTTTTTATGCAGTGAGGTAAATGTGCATGTATGCCGTTCAGTATGCGTTTACAGGTGAATACGTCTGTATTTCCTGCCAATAGCCTCAAAAAGATTAAAATATAATTAATGCAAATAAACAACTTCTACTAATAATAATAATCATAATCAATTCAATAATATAAATACTATATTATTTTATTATAATATAGTTGTATAGTCAAGACAAAACATGCGTATGACATGCTCAAAAACTGATATTTCTTAAATCTGTATTCATAGTTCCCTCTGTCAGCAATGTATCAACAACTACACACATATTTCTATCAGTATTTCTCTGTGTTGTGGTTGACATGATGATGACTGTTAGGAGTTAAGGGGAGAGGCTGAGCGTCACCATGATGATGACTGTTAGGAGTTAAGGGGAGAGGCTGAGCGTCACCATGAAATGTGCAAATTGACATAAAAATGAATATAAGGGGGAAAAATGCTCCATTTTTTTTAGGCTGTAAACTTTAACTGTAATGTAAGCCAACTAGACAGACAGTGTATCACTCTTCCTCCTGTACATTAGCAGATAAAAGGCATCACATACTTGAATGAATGGTAAATAAAGAATGCTGGAAATAACTGCATCTCCATTAGCCTATATGCTATGCAGACGCTGCCTTCTTCATGTCCTGAATTGCAGCTGATGTTTTAATATGGCAATTTGAAATATTTTAATATATTTTTACATTTTTATAAATAATAAAAATCGTGTTTATTGTGGGAGGGCAAGAATGTCAAATGGCCCTCCCACGGCGACGGGCATGGATGGTTGTTGTTAGCTTCTGGTGCTAGCGAGCTACGCTAACGGATATAAGGAGTTTTTTCAACAACAAAGTGGAGGAGAGTCCTCTCCTGTCAGACTGAGAGACGTAAGGCCCGTCTACACTACAGGCGTCGAAAAAGCTTGAAGCTGGGCGTGTCTGAGGCTTGGCAATTTTTTGCGAGCAACGCGACCAACAACCAATCACATGAATCTCCCGCCCCCGACATACAAAGCAATAGCAATGTTAAAACGAAGTAAACTGGATATAAAATCCCCAAACAGGCGAAAACCTACCAGATTCACCCACTGTCTCTGCCACCTCCCTCCATGCCTCGCTCCTCCGGTTTGTATCCTGGTAGATGAACAGAGACTGATCATACAGCACCGGGTGATTCACTACCGCTATAATGAATTTTCCCTCCATTTTTTTGAATATGAGGAAATGACCTGCGTAGTCTCTCCCAGCATACACGCGGTTTGATTGGCTAGCGCTTGTACTGTCAGATTTGCATAAACGGGATTTCATTGCCTGACGCCAGCTTCGAGCATGCATCGAGCCTCAAAAGTTGAACATTGTTCAACTTTTGACGCCGATAGACGCTCGCGATGCTTGCAACGCCTTGCCATGCTACCCACAATGCAGTTCGGCGAAGTTTGAAAATATCCTACGTCACCCCATTCAAATGAATGGGCGAAGCGTTGAAAGCATTTGTTGACGCCTGTAGTGTAGACGGGCCGTCAGTGAACTAAAGGACTCTCTCAGTGTTATCTCAGTGGGTCTCAAACGTTTTGGTCACCATTAATGTAAACAATTATTTCCGAGGCACACATTTATATGATCATTATTGTTTAAAAAAAATAAGAGAATAAATGAAAAACAGCTATGAAATACTATATGACAGTAAAACAAGAATAAAGTTTAAAAGGGGAGTGATTTGTAAAATATCCATAAAGAAAAAGTAAATCTGTTAACAGTTCTGTTGTGTTGAGAGATGTATCCATAGATCTCGTAATTTTGCTCTCAAAGTGCACCAGATTGATGCTTTTAACTTCAAGATTGAAAAAAATATCTTCCCGAGGGAGCTTGCCCCCGGACCCCCCTATGTGAGGTCCACACACCACCTATAAAAATAGCACTTTACCCCTGCTTACACCTATATGCCGTGAGCTGATTATCGTGCCTTCATTGTAACAGTTGCGGGTACATTGTGTATTTGCGTGGGGAATGTTGCAGTAGAGAATTCGGTACATTAATGGGAAACCCTAAATGTTTGAGCACCCTCTATGAAACGTCAAGCTACCCCACAGAACCCCCAAAATAAATCTCTGGCGCCGCCACTGAGCCTGACTATTTGTGTTGGGGGGGCCCGACTTTTTTTTTTCTCCAAAGGGGGGCCTGACAGAAAACGTTTGAGAACCACTGATGTAATGTAAGTGAGAATGTTTTCAAGCATTTCTTTGTCTCTTTTTTTTAAATTCCTAACTTCTGCAGTCCTGTTTTAGCTATGCGATCTGCCAATGGATGGATGGCAGTTTCCTGTTGTCATTCAGACCACACTTTCCAATCTGAACATCTCATTTTGTACAGACATAAATGGTCTCTAAAGAAAAATATGTTATAGACTTTCTATATCGCTTATATATCAAGTGTTACTACTACCAGCCCTGCAACACATATTAAACTGGCGTAAAATGCACTTAAAAATGATTGTGTATTGAGGAAAGTATCGTATCCAGTCATAAACAGGAATGGTACTAAAGCATGTATTCAAACGACTTTTTGAAAGGCCTGCAAATGTATTCATCTTTTTTTTTCTTTCTTTAAAGCAAATGTTGTGTGGAAGGGGATGTGTCCATCAGTCTACCAAATTATCTTATAGCATAGTATATGAAAATTACATTACACATAAGAATGACTGGAAGCCTGTTGATTCACTATAGCCGTGATTGTGATTCATGTTCAGCAATAGCAAAGCCCACACAAAGTATGATTATCTGGAAAGTACTCACATGAAAAAAGATGTGTAAACATAAACATAGAATCCACATTTTGCCATCCGGAGATACATTTAAACGAGGCAGCAAAGACATAAAGGTTATCTATAGTCTTTTTTAACAATATATTATAGGTCTCAGATATATACAAAACATGTCTCTGAAGCGTTTGCTAACAGTAACAAACAGATCATGCATTGTAGCATGCTATTACCCCCTCTGGTTCAGCAGTGTTTCAAAAGTGCTGATTCTGGGTCTGTAGCTTTAAATGCTAATGAGCTGCTGCTGGCCACGCCCCTACAAGAAGATTGGTTAAAAAAACAAACACAATGGTGCTATGAGAGATTCAGGTGATAATGTGGGTTGGTGTTACCTTGGTTGGTTATTGTCTACTAATGGTTGCACAACCCCCCAAAAAAGTGGCCAAAATCTGATCAGCTTATTTCCGAACAGGTTTTGATATAAATGGATCGGGACAAAAAGAGAGTAACTTTTTTCCGGAAACTTACGAATCTCTTAACACTGACGTGACACATATTTTTGTATAAAAGACATGAAAAAGTGGATTTTGCACAATAGGCGACCTTTAAACTAACCACAAATTGTACAATTGCATAATGGTCATTGTACATCTCGAAACACTGACTGTAATCAACAGCTTTGCCTCTAAATGTGCTCAAAAACCAGTTAGTACGAATACAGTATACGCCTGAAGCATGATGAAGCTTTTAAGAAGTTTATTTTGGTGATATTGTTCACAGATTTAGATTTTTAAACCTGGAGTTACTGGTGTGGATTTTTCCTTCTGCTTTTTTGGCATATCTAGTCATGTGTAGAGGAAGCACTTCTCACCCGTGGTTTTTCACCTTGTTAGGACCCTGACAGAGAGTGTGACCTTGGCACTGGACCAGCAGACAGTGGGCAGTGTGCTGCCAGTGTCGGCGGTCGTCTATGTCTGGCACGGAGATTGCAGGTTGTCAACAGGTATAGCCGCTAGTAAGTACCAGCTTTCAGAATTTCTCACAAAGCTTTACACTCAGGGCAAGACAGTGACACTCTGGAGAGGCATGACAAAATGAAGAAAATAGCTTTTCCCCCCAGCCTAAATTAGACGGAATGCTTTGAAAAAGACCAGCTGGCGATGTCGAAATGTGCCAGCGTGATGATTTTCACACTGTTAGAAAATAACCCCTGTGCCCACATTATACCATCTGTCAGGTGGTCATATGTGATTTCAGTCTGAGACACCAGATTATTTCTGAACCTTGTCCTAAGGGTTCCCTGACAACCTTTTTTTGGATTCACAAACACCTCACATGTGAAGCCTTATTTCTCGTGATTTGATGCCCGGACTTTGTAATTGGATCTTCACCGAAAAAAACAAACACCCCCTGCAAGGGTGCACGGATTTGGTGATTGAGTATCTATCAGCCATTGTTTATTCCTGTTGATGCTTTGCCCCGACGGAAAAATAAATGAGAAGTCTATTTGGTTTGGTAATGACTCCCGGCTGGCTGCCTCTTGTCCACCCCAAAGGCTCTCCGGGTGTCATATAATCAGTACACCCAAGTCTTTTAACGCGTGCCAGTTCTGACAAACAACAAAGCTGGCGTGAAGATAATTGCGTTCGTGATCCCTGCGCATCCCCTTCCTCGCTGGCGCAAGA